ATGGTCTGATAACGTAATTTTTTAAGCCAATTATTTCTTTTTAGAGATTCTAAAAAAAAATCAAAACTTTTGCAAAATATTTATTCAATCATTAACGCCTTAAATTTCTTAGCATGCGTCATAATTAATTGACGTATTTTATAATTGAGAATACTATAATTTGCTGTTAATTTCCAACATTTGTAAAATTCAGATGTCAGCCCTCCTAGTTATATTGATGAATTTGTTCTCAGTATAATACAATTTTTCAGTTTACTGTCCATGCCTTCTTTGGAGTAAAACAGGTGAAATTCCGTCACACACCAAAGGTTTTACATCCACTAACATAAAACGCTTGTAGTACAATACATACATGTATCAAAAAAAATATTAGTTCAATCATGTGTTGGTTTATAAATGAGTACCAAATATATAATGACATCATTCGATATTCGATAGATCAGAAAAGTGATATTGACCTCGACTTCGTCTCATTTTATGTCGGTTATTATCGCTTTCTCAGGGTTATATAACCACATATTCACCCCAAAGTCCATAACTGATAAACATATAATACCCGTTTTTACTAACTCTTTTATATTGATGTAGGGTTAAAACCTTATAACAAACAAATCTGAATCGTGTTCGTAACATTGACAGGTTTACCATCTCATGTAGTAAGAAAACCTCTATACCCGGAAGAAAATGAATGAAGGACAAACAAATCATCAAAATCTTCACTGAAAAATGGCTTATATAGTAAATGATCGTCTCCATCCTCGCGTAAAAAAAGAATTTACCAATTGTGACCTTATAAATGTAACCTAAATTGCCTTAGAAGCGGATAACATGTAGGGCTTCTTCAGAACCAGAGATTCTGCGGTGTCTTCTGCTAAGGGGAATCTAGAATCTAGAATTTATCTGCCACCACATTGAAACACTTAATTTATTTTTCTTTGCTATTTTCCTTCTTCTTTCTTTCAAGGCTTCCACTTTATATGACTGAAGCTGTTTTGAAGACGTTAACCTAACACACACTAACGCTCTATTACTTCAGCACCGCCATTCTTTATACTAGTATGTATTACAATGGACCTTGTACGCTGGACATTAACAAGACCTGGTCAGAGATGTGGCACATTCCGGCAGAAAGTCATGTATGTGGGCACTTTAGTGACAGTACATATATCTTAGATGTTTACAGTCATTAGGTGATGCTAAGGGATACTCTCCTCACAGTACATATATCTTAGATGTTTACAGTCATTAGGTGATGCTAAGGGATACTCTCCTCACAGTACATATATCTTAGATGTTTACAGTAATTAGAGGATGCTAAGGGATACTCTCCTCACAGTACATATATCTTAGATGTTTACAGTCATTAGGTGATGCTAAGGGATACTCTCCTCACAGTACATATATCTTAGATGTTTACAGT